CCAGCGCGTAAGATGATCCACTACCACATAACGTCCCATGGCTGTCGTAAGAGGCGACACAGGGAAAATGAAACAGGAGATGGGCGGTGTTCACGCTACTGCATGCGTTCGATTGCAGATTCAGAGGTGAGGGATTGTGTGACTGTGATGCCAGAACCTTGTCTGGCATCACAGTCACACAATCCCTCGAAGTGTAAAGTGGGCTTACCTGCTTTCTATGGCGAAGCGGTGGGATTCTTGCCTCTGGCCGGAGGTTATTTTTATTTTATTTATTAAGGTTTACCAATGTTTGATTACACTGTATTTAACAAAATACCTTAAGAACTAACTTATGTGACTAAGTGTAACAATCGTTTAAGGTAAACACCACATGCATCGAGAAAGATTATAAATACGAATAAAAAGTAGTATAATTACCTAATAATGATAATAAGTATATGGTAAAAAAAAAAACTATAATTTATTTGTTGGTTTCAGACCAGGCTAAAGCTAGAACTTTCTTAATTTTGGCAAATGAGTCGGCGTGAATGTCAACTAAGTCACTATGTCCATTGACCAATTTTCACAACCTTGGAATTGGGGAGTTTGCACCTAAGACAGATTTCCTGAAAGGAGGGCTAAGTGGAGTAATGGGAGCGCGAGGAATTCACAACGGAACACGAAATTTAAATTTTTGGAGCAAGGGGGGACAGTTAATTTTCTGGTTAAAATTTTTAACAAGAAATGACATGTCAAGCAAATTTCTCCGATTTTCCAGGGATAAAATTTTAAAGAATCTTAATCGTTTTTCGTAAGACCGAATTTTTTTGTGAATCCCATTACGATAGGCCAAATTAGCTACGAACTTTTTTTGTAGACGTTCCAATCGCAAGGAGTGTGTCGCGTAGTGTGGCCTCCATACTACACTGCAATACTCAATTATGCTTCGTACGCTCTCGTGTTTCGTATCTGCTGCAATCCTCGTCATCTTCTTCAGAATGGTTGCCGTTAACCGAAAATATGCTTTAATATACGCAATATTTAGCACAAAATCATCCGAATAACCATTTAAAAGTTATATGTTAATTAGAGGCGCGTGCTTTGCGCACACTGAGCGAGCGCGCCGTCGATCGATCCGAAAGTCGAAATTAGAATGGCAGATGTCGCTGCAGTGCAGAGCCCACCGACAATCCGAAGTAACCGTAATGCCCGAACAGGCAGCCTTTTTCTAATAGGTGCTGTTTCACGCTGATATTCTGTGAGAGCATACTCCCCCCGCGGTCAAACCGACCCATACGTTCTGGAGTTGTGTGTAGATAGCATTATAGCTACAACAAGTCCCAAACACACACACGCACGCGCACATGTACACACACACGCGTGTACACGCGCACACACACACACACCAAACGCGCACACACACACACACACACACACACACCAAACACGCGCACACACACACACACACCAAACGCACACACACACACACACACACCAAACACGCGCACACACACACACACACACACACCAAACGCGCACACACACACACACACACACACACACACCAAACACGCGCACACACACACACACACACACACCAAACACGCACACGCACGCACACACACACACACACACACACACACACACACACACACACCAAACACACACACACACAAACAAACAAACACACACACACACACAAACACGCGCACGCACACACGCACACAAACTCAAAATATATATTGAATAGAATAGCTGCAGCTAGAACTATACCAAAGAAAAATTAAACCGTGTTATGCAGACATGGATAGATATAGGATAATGAACATAGGGCACACTGAAAACCAGCTTCGTGGATAGTGCAACGAAATTATGCTGAGTGTAGTCCTTTTATAACAAACTCGCAAACGTAACAAAGCTTATCATTGAATTGCTTCCATTTTATTTAGGATTTAGTTTTTTTTTTTTTAGTTCTGTAGTTATAAGTTGTTTAGTTTATAATATCTGTTCTAACACGTGTGTTGGTGTTTGTTGTTATAAATAATGTTTCATTTTTTATTTCTTTCAAATGTTTCGACCCACAAAAACAAGTTATTCAGATTTGAAAGATAAATGTATTTTTCTTGTAGCAGAAGCCCTACTATATATTTACTTACTTATCTTCACGCACAATCCCTGACGGAGTAGCCAGAGAGAACAGATCGCCAAGTGTCACGATCCTTACATATCTCTTTCGCTTCTTTCAGATTCATTATCTTCTTCAGACTACTATATATCATGTTGTGTATATCATTTTAAAGAAAATTTAATGGAGATTTTAGGATTACTTGTTATATTTTCAAATTCCTTGATGCTTGGAAATAAACTGAAAAGGGAAACAATTTTTTTAATATTTTAAGTTATTAGGAAGATGCTGCTCACAGTTTCATTCTCTGTCGCCTCTTACGACACCCTCGGGACGGTATGGGTAGTAGATATTCTTACACCGCTTCTACACCATTGATCAAAAACTGATATTTTCACCATGAGTTTAATTTATTAATAAATTTTTTCAGGAATTGCCAAAGAGTTCCGGAGCTAAAATTAAGTAATATTTTAATGTCTGTCTTCTGCTTCTGGGAACAAACTTCATCTCAAATTTAAGAAGAATAATTTTAACATAATTAATAGAATCAGGCGTTAATTTGCGGAAATCCATTATAATCGGGTTGTTATAATCTAATTTGCTTGATTCCGCGTAAAGAAAGTAAGAAAATTATATGTCCTGCCCAGTTTTAAGACACGTGTCGTATTTTCGAGAGAGGGATGGTAGTGCTGAGATTGACGGCGATGCGTATAGTGCGCGCTATTGAGGGAGGGGTGGGTGGTCTCCTTAAAACTGTGCAGTACACATCATTTTCTTTCTTTACGCGGAATTAAGCAAACTAGATTATAACAACCCCATAATAATTTTAAAGACTCATTATTGGGGTAATACTAATTAAGAACAAAGAAATAAAATAGTGAGAAGCAAATTGGATGGCTTAATGCTATCTCATTCTACCCTCAAACTGACCTATATCCTTTTACGTTTCACTATAAGATATTTATAATGGAGAGTGTACTAACAACTTCTAATTTAAATAAAAAGCACTTAGCAATAACAGACAGGTCGGTAGTGCAGTGGCTTAGTGTTTATCAGCGATGCAACGTGTTCGAATCCCGCGCGGTACAAGTGTTCATATGGCCTAAAATAATTGTTCCTCTATATGTTTGTCAGTGTGCAATTTTATATGTAAAATGCCTCCACGATACTGGAGAGTGTGGGTTTATACTCTTCCCCAACACTGAGTATATTTACAGCAAAAATAAGATTTATTACTTTTATGACTAAATAATTGAGTTATAATAATAAAAACCCTGTGGTTCCATTAAGTGTGTTATCAGTATTCAAACGGCTCCGTGGCGCAGTGGCTTAGCGAAGAGTTGTCGCACTGGGGGTTGCGGGTTCGAATCCTGCACGAAACAAGTATTTGTATGGCCTACAAATAATTGTTCCGGGTCCTCGTGCAATATATGTTTGTAAACTGCTTCCACAATACAGGAGAAAATCCTAGTGTGGGGGTAATGTTTTTTTTATTAAAGAAAAAAAAGAAAACGTATAGAAATAAGTTTACTTCAGAAAACTCGACCATAAGAAAATTAAATTAAATTTTTATTTGCAAATTATATGTGGTTTTATTACCTCTGACTTACACGCGCATCGATAAAGCGGAGTCTTTGACAATACTCTTTCTCCTCGGCCAATGCAGAGGTAACAAAACCACATACAATTTGGCAATATTTTTTATGCCTGAGTTTTCTGAAGTTATTTCTATACGTTTGAATACTGATTCTAATAACGCATTTAATGGGAGTCACAGGGTTTTTGTTGCATGTATGACTCATCTCGACCTCGACTGAACTTATGTGCAATATTAAATATGTCAACTAAAAAAAAAAACATATTTATTGTCCACCATCAAATAACTACATTTTGACAAGGTCCTAAGTTGAGGTGACTTGGCGATATTGCCAGGTATACCCATACAGTGCCAAGCTTTAGCAGCTAAGAAAATTATTTTATTAGAGGCCGTTAGGTTTTTCTGGCGTTTTTTCAATGGCCCATAGACATTTCGTTGTCGTTGTCACCCCTGAGGACTAAGATAGAATGCCTCCTTTCCAGTTAAAAGGGTCTCCACACTCAGCATATAAAATACAGCAGCATTGAGCTGAAATTTTACTCTGGTATTGTATGAGAGCGTGGTCCTACCACGGTCACAGCATATCATTCAGTTTGTAATTTGTATTAATGGTTTTTAAAAGACCTTTCGCAACTCGTAATGATCATGTTTCGTTCATTTATTGTGGTACTGTCACAGCTATAAATTTTATTTACAACATGGTCGACTTAATGTTAGGAATGACAATCCCCGTACAGAGAAAGCTCAAAATCTAGTATTAAAACTAGATGGCGCTGATTCATATCTTGAATGTCACTGAATTATTTAAAGCCAACAAAATGCTTAATTATAGTGTATAACAAAAGATATGATTAAATGTTATCTATGGAGCCGTACGAACCAGTACGATCTTGTATGACGATAGTCAGTTCCTTTGTTTCATACATCAATGATAAATGATTTGTACCTAATATAGGTGATTTTATAAAATGTAGTTCTCATGTAATGAGTTTGTAATCTATGTCTAAACGTATTATGTCAAATAAAAATATGTATACATGATAGTTATTGTTTTATTTCCTTAATCCAACACGGTACAAAACAATTTTCTTAAAAATATTACGATTATTTCGAGCTACTGTCATAGATTGTTATATTATATATATTATATAATTAAAGACTTCTATGTGTACTACTAGAATGGCAATTCAAAACAAAACTGTGACACCGGTGTGAGTTGATAGCTGGCACGGTAAATAATCCTCGCAGTTGTAGTTTCATTTACGACAGTTTCTGTTTTCAGGCAAATGCGAAATAAAGTTACATACTTATTAGATTTTCGAAAACAACGTTTGCAGTTTACAAAACAAAGAACTACTCTTCTCGGCCGTTTGCAGTCGTCTAAAGGAGTTACGGAGAATTGACCGTAACTAAATGCGCAATGTATGAAGGCCGCAGAGTATACGCAGAAGTCTTGCGTTGTATATTAAAAAAAAAAACTAAGTTTCTATGAAAATATTTCCATTTAAATGCTAGAGTTATTAAAAATAAATTTATTATATTCACATTTTTAACTTTTTTAAATTCTTCTCTTAAGCCGCGTCTCCACCAAAGTTTTGTTGCCAACACAAAAAAAAAGTTTTGTTGGTAACAAAACTTGAAACAATTTCGGGAACCGTGTTTCCATTTTCGGCGGCAACACCAAAGGAATACGCTTGTTGCAAACATTTGTTCCCTTGGTGGAGACGCTTGTTGGAAACAGTTGGAAACATAACTGTCGTCAACATTTTTGGTGGATACGCGGCTTTAGGAATTCCATAGTTAACTTTCGAAAGCGAGGTAATAAAACGTGGTAAAAATGAACCAGAGAGCACTAAATACCATATTTAATAGTCATTTAAACCCATCCAGATACTTAGGTTTCATTTATTTTTGGTCGTTGTACTAAGTCAAAAACAGATGGCAACACAATCCACATTGTTTATTTGCTGCATATACAACATGTATCAAAAACCCTGTAATTATCGTTAAGTGCGTTGTCTGAATCAGTATTCAAACGCATAGAAATAACTAATTCATAAAACTCTACTATAAAAACAACAGTTTTTTTTTGCAAATTGTATGTGGGTTTATTACATCTGCATTAGCCTTGAAAGAGTATTGTCAAAGACCCCGCTATACAGATGCGCGTGTCAGTGCAGATGTGAATAACATTTTTTCAGAATATTTCATTTAGTAAGTTACCTATGGCAAACACTAAAATTCCTTTAATAACGACAAAAAAATTACTGTCATAAATGCCATGCCTATATGTACATATGTATATACGTCGCTAAATGGATCACCGGGTTTTTTTTACAACTGTATACAACTTATCGCTATGACCAAAAAGGCATCAAAACCATATATATCATGGATTAACAATAAACTCCAAGAACATGACATCGTTCTTAATATACTCGAACTTGTCCAAACTGGTGTGCGGTATGAAGATGTACTGTTTCTTCATCTGTATGACGTTCATGTCCAGGTTCTCCGTGGACTTAGTTTTCTCGTCGCTTGCTTCGTCGTAGTCGTGACGCTTGGACGACGACTTGCGGCGCAGTTGTAGCGATTTCACAATATCCATTGCCTGCAAACGTTGTAAGTTGTAACGTTATAATATGATTTTATTACATTACTAGCCGCTCGCCCTGGCTTCGTCTGGGTAGGATCTATTTATTTGTCGTTGTTTAGATTTAAGATAATGTATAACGAAAACTGTTACAAAAGTCTGGGAAAATGTTACTACTTGAGATCCCACGAACGGATAGTTGTTTATTACGTATAAATAAAAGTGTCTTATGCTATCTTAACTAACAGAACCATACCGTGTAGTATTTCGCTTTTAGCGCCATTTATCAACAAAAATGTAAACTTCTTAGAAACAATTTTCATCAATTTAGATTATTGGACAATAATCTCAAACACTATTTATTTTATCAATGCTGACATTGCCCCGTTATTTGTTCGTGAAGTGTCATCACAATTGGTGCAGCCATTTCGAAGATGAACCCGGACAGACTCATGGCTTATAGCATGCAAAAACCCCTCAGTTCAATAAAAGGCAGTTAATTCGATGCTATAGACAAACACATTATGTATGTATTTTGATAGCGATTTAATTTAAATATTACTTTTCTGCCGACTTCCAAAAAGGAGCCGGTACTCAATTCGACTGTATGTTTTTTTTTTCGTTTTTTTTTATGTGTGTTACCTCAGAACTTTTTTCTGGGTGAACCGATTTCGATGATTCTTTTTTTATTTGAAAGCTGGCACTTCTCGTGTGGTCCCATATGAATTTGATCAAGGTCAGACCAATAGTTTTTAAGTTATTCTTAAATAACTTATATTGAAGTCGGCTGTACAAAATTTTTAATTTTAAATTATTACTTTATAAAACTGAAGCGACGTACGAGCTCACACCCCATCTCCATGAACGTCTGTAGCCAACTTTGAAGAAAAAAGGCTAAAGAAAAAGTTTAATAACTTAGTTTAAGTTGCTTAAGTTATTGAACTGTGCTGTGGCTCCTACACCTATCCAATCCAATAGTTTTTAAAACCTATCTTCCAAAGTGGTTCGAAGATAGGTTTTAACTAAAAAATTATGATAATCGAACGTCCTTTTTACCAAACTTCGTGCCTTTTTCATTTATGTTTTTGGTGGGATGCATTTCACCTCTGTGGTCTAAAATTGAATGCCTAAGTACCAGTAAAAAATAATCTCTGGTTCTCTACACTTACCACACGAAACACAGCAGCGTTAAGCTGCTAATCCACGCATGTATCTACAGGTGCATGGCTTTTTTTTATAAAATTAGGGTGACAAACGAGCACACAGTCTACCCGATGATAAGTGGGTTCTGTTGACCATAAACACCTACATCTATCCTCTATTAAGAATCAAAGTACATATACGTTGTCACCCCTATGGATTAAGATGGAATGCCTTATTTTCAGTTAAAAATGTCATTGGCCGTCAATACTCACTACAAATAACTGCAGCATTATGCGACCAATTCACGCAGATATTCTGTTAAAGCACTGTTTTTTCCAAGTCGAGACGAACTATTCATGCTACAGTCAACCGACTGGCATGGCATATTTGACACGCAAAAAGCTTTCTAAATTTTGGGTTATTGAAAGGATGGTGATATCACCTGACTTCGATTAGCAGGCTGATCCCTCAGCACTATATTGATGTTGATATCGCAGGGCCACTCCAGCAAGGGGTCATAGGGCCCGGCGACCAAACGAACTGTGCAGGTGATGTGGCGACCCTTCCATTTTCCAATGCCATTAAGATTAACTTCTGCCTGAAACATATTGAGGAATAGAATAGAATAGAATAGAATGATTTTTATTCAATTAGGATTATTACATAATACTTATTGAAAGTCATTATTTTATTTACCACTGGTTCGGAAAATACCTCTGTCCTGGTGTGTGGAGTGTGATGTGAGGAGTCTGTGAGGAGTGTGATGCTGGCATAAGAGAATTCGTCATACCATTTCGTACTTTGGCGTTGGATGTAAAAGGGGTGATCTCCCGCTGGGCAAGATTCAAAATGCAGATGCATTGTCACCACTGAGAACTGATATGGAATGTCTCGTATCCAGTAAAAAGGATCTCCGGTTCTCTGCAATCACCAGACGAAACAGCAGCATTAGGCTGCTATTTTACGCTGGTATTAGGTGAGAGTATAGTCCTTCCCCGCTCGAGCCGACCCTATCGTACAACCATAATATAGCTGCAGAGTGGCTCTACCACGTAAGAACTTGCTTAAAGTTACAGCCTATATGATCCTTGCTCACACCAAACGAAATACCCAGACCGGTGACAGAAAGCAGAGCAGAGGTGGTAGACATCTAGTACTGTGATTGTCAATATAGTTGCCTCCTTACAACGGGACGCCCACGTCCAGCAGTGGACTTAACGGGCTGGTAGAGAAGAAGAAAACATATTTCCAGTATAAAGAGTTTCGCAGTTTTTCTTCTTTATAAAAATGAAATGACAAACGAACTTACAGTCTCCCCGATGGTAAGTGTAAGTTCAAACAAAGAAAGCTACAGGTGTGTTGTCAGAGTTTAGACTAAAGTCTTCTCTAAAGAATTTTTTTAAACTAAAAGAAAGCTGAGGATCCTGTTCTATTAATTTAAGATGGCCACCTTTCACGTACAAAAAATTAGAATTCATATTAGAAGCCTCACATTGCACCCACAAGCTCTGGTTGGAGTTGATGATTGTTACTTATTTGTGAAGTGGGGTCTGACTGACTCATTCCAATTATTTTAGAAGATTATATAATTTTGCAAAGCCATTACTTAAATATTGTTCGATTATGTGACTATTGTTACCTATTGTGATGTTATGACTGACGTCATTCTATCTAAGTTAATCTGTAAGAAATTTTATTTTGTAATTAAAAACAAAAGTAACCTCTAGTAAATTATTTTTTATTTAATTCTAATAAAACCCTCCAATCCTCAAAAAAAATTTTTTATTATTAAGTGGTTGCTGTGGCCCATAGACATCTACATCTATCTTCGATAACGAATCAAAATGCAGATGCGTTGTCACCCGTGAGGACTAAGATGGAATGTCTCATTTCCAGTAAAAAGGTCTCCTGTTCTCTACGCTCAGCATACGAAACACAGCAGCGTTAAGCTGCTATTTTACGCTGATATTCTACGAGAGCGTGGTCCTTCCCCGGTCGAGCCGACCCATTCGTGCTACAACTATAATATAGCTGCAGCATGGCTCTACCACGTATAAAAATGGGGTCAACATGATCGTAGGAATCATTTTGGACACTGGGGTGTACAAGATGATTCTTTTGTAGAGTTTAAAAAAATTTGAATTATAACAATAAAAGATCTAAAAATTGCAATTTTGAGTATAACAACATGTAGACAGATAAATTTACTATGAATTAACATTTTGACATCGGCATTTAGTTAAATATCGTTTAAACTACAAGAATTCTCCTTTAAGGGAATCATCTCGTATACCTTTCCCCTAATATGTGTATTCGTTCGCTATATCAGAACGAGTTCTATTGAACTGTAGTCTTAATAATTACTAAAAATACACGACCGGGGAAGGACCACGCTCTCACAGAATAGCGGCGTAAAATAGCAGCTTAACACTGCTGTTTCGTATGGTGAGTGTAGAGAACCGGAAACCCTTTTTACTGGAAAAGATGCATTCCATCTTAGTCCTCACGGGTGACAACGCATCTGCATTTTGATTCTTTATTAAGGATAAATGTAGATGTCTCTGGGTCACAGCAACAACTTACCATCAGGTGGACTGTGTACTCGTTTGTCACCCTATCCTATAAAACAAAATTACCTGAGGTCGTCACCGCGCCATTTTTATCCAACCAATGGTGTTATAATCGTGTAGGTATAAATTTATAAGTAACTCTTGGATGAAGTGTCATTAATTTTATGTACCAGAGTCCAAGTGTTGACAGAGAATCCGTCATTCTATTTATTTTCGTGGGTGCCGTAAGAAATGTGAAGTATGTCTTGCGTTACCTACTCTACAGTTCGCAGATAAACTATATCTAGGTGCAAGGCGTTTTTTTTTATAGAATATAAGTGACAGTTCAGCTGATGGTAAGTGGATGTGGTGGGCCGTATACACCTACACCTATCCTCGATTAAGAATCAATATGCAGATACGTTGTCACTCCTGAGGACCAAGATGGAATGACTCGTTTCAAGTAAAAGGATCTCCGGTTCTCTACACTCACCATTAGAAACAGATTGATCCGCTATTTCACTTTGGTATTCTGTGAGAATGTGGCCCTATCCCGGTCTAGCCGACCCAGTCGTGCTACAACCATAATATAGCTACAGCGTGACTCTACCACGTGAAAAAGAAAGCATTTTTTTGTCTAAATGTTACATACTTTAAGGGTGTATCCGTATTTGCTGGTGCGGAAGTGCGGGCTGGTCAGCACCGAGTCCTTTTCTTTGGCATCTTTCATCCTGGCTATAAAATTGTCTATCCTCCAAATAAAGTGACCTGTTAAAGAGTTAAATTATTGAATTTACTATGGTTTACATAATGGCTAAGATTCCATTTCGATACAGAAGTAAAAAGGATTAGGAAAAGGAAAATCAGGATTAAGATGACACATCATTGCATAGCCGGAGTGACAGTGCTGTTTGGATCATTCCATATTAAACAAGATTTTTAAGTTAGCCTTTCGCTTTATTTTGTACTTATCTATCTGCATTATTTAAAACGATTTTTTTCCTTCTAACTTCTTAACTTCTAAAAAAACTTCTATAGTTTATAATTATGATTAGTTATAAGCTTATATAATGTTATATTGCGTTGTCAGTGCACACTAATTTTTTTTAAAGAAATGGCCAAATAGATATCTCTTTCTTCTTTAAATTCCTATCCAACAACACGCACTGGACTAGAGCGGTGGACTAACTGCACCATTAACCTGAATGAGAACAGTATATCCATAGTAGAACCAGAGATTAGACCTAAGAAACAACAATTTGTGTATTTGCAGTAATAACTCTCCCACACAAAGGTATCCATCGATCCAGTCTTCATTGAAACTGGCCGACGTGACTGAAATTCGGTCTCGACGACAATATTAATATCATTAATTACATACCATTATCACTCCCCAGGTCAGGGTTACTGAAGTTGATCCTTGCTTGGTAGTCCACAATCTCGCTCCTGATCTTGTGGTACGACTTGATCAACGCGCGGAGATCCCTTGAGATGTTGTCCATCCTTGCTGAATGTTCTGCAGCTTCGGCCCTCACGTCTGCTGTCGCCACTTCTAATATCGCCACTCTGTCTAAAGCCTGAAGGAATAGTTTTTATTATTTAAAAATATACAAAATTTAACTTGCTCAAAATTCAAAACTTTATTAAACTATGTTTGTATAAAAATGGTTATTATAATATTAAGGAATTTATGGATGATAATAAACCCTGGAAATGACGTGATCGCTACCAAGCTATTTCTAATTTGTTCGTGTGTGATATGTTGTGATTACATGATTGTAAGCTGTTATTTAAAAAAAGTCACGCAGGGTTTCTTGCTGGTTCTTCCCAGGACAGAGGATTTTTTTTAAACCAGTGGTAATTATACAAAAGAGTGACTTTCAATGAATATTATTTTATAATCTATATTGAATAAAAAGTTTCTGTTTCTGTTATTTATATTATTTTTTAACAGCCTTTAATTGGCTGGATTGGCAGTCTACTGAGTAAGAACTCTTGGTACCTGGTAGAGCTAAGGTGTAGCGTGTTATGACTGCAGCAAAAATGGGTAGACTCGATCAAGAATGGACCACGCTCCCATTTAACGGTAACGATCCATCTGCATTGAATATATTATTACATTTCGTTCAATAAACAAGTAGTAAAATTAAAAATTTTATACAACCGACTTCAATATAAATAAAATGAGAACATCATCAATGTAATTGAAGTCAATTAAATACGCATTATTGTGGATAACTCAAAAACTAATGGTCAGATCTTGATCAAATTTATAGGGAACCACATGAGAAGCACTAGCTTTCAAGTAAAAAAAGAAACATCAGAATCGATTCACCTAGAAAAATACAGTCGAATTGAGTACCTCCTCCTTTTTTTAAAAGGCGGTTAAAATTATAATGTGGCTGCGCTGTCATGCTATAAGCATAAAAAACAAAATGAAGCCTAAATCACGCTATCGAACTATACGCACGACTCTGGATACCTAAATAGAATAAGAACATATTCCGTACTACGGAGCGTTGGTTGTCCCCTATGTTGAAAAAGTCGCCGGGCGGGAGGGAGATCTAAATTGGGGATGAGCTTGTGACCAAGATGTTACTCCCCATTTACACTCTCGCGCAAGCGTCGGGGCGAGTCGCGAGGCGAGCCACTCGCGGCGCTCGCGTCGGAGGCGGATTTTTGGGCACGAGGCAAAGGGCCTCGCGAGGGACGCGAACGTGCTGTTTACACTCGCGCTCTGGTTTGTTGAGTTGTTTACGGCGCCCTTCCATACTAATTGTTCCATACTATTCGAATTGTTTTTGTTTTAAAATTACAATTTCAATAAAATAATATAATTTAATCTTTCACAAAAGGTACTAGCAATTTATATAAAATTATGAAACTGAAAAGGTTCTGTTTGGATGAATAGATATCATCTACCATATTCTTCCTCAACAATGGATTTTTTTTAATTTCCTTCTTTTTAAAATTGTCAAGCATCAATAAATACTTATAAAGGCAAGAGATGCTGCTATTATTTCGACGTCTTTCATCGTTGCTGGCTCAACGCAAACTGAACGCATCGCGAGAGTGTAAACAGGCACTCGTTACCTCGCAACAACACGCGAGCTGCGAGGCGAGGTACCAGGCGAGGCGCGAGTCTAGAGTATAAAACAGGTATTAAGGTAAACAATTATAATTTAATACCGCGTAAAATAGCAGTTTTATACTGCTATGTTTCGTATGGTGAGTGCAGAGAACCGGATACCCTTTTTTACTGAAGACGAGGCATTCCATCTTAGTCCTCATATGTGACAACGTATCTGCATTTTGATTCTTAATTGAAGAGAAATGTAACTGTCTATGAGTTGCAGTATCCACTTACCAGCAGGTGGACTGTGTGCTTGTTTGTCACCCTTACAATATAAAAAAAAATTTGACGTTGGTGATAGCTTGAACCGTATTACTTTACTTGTATGCGGTGATGTGGGTTTAGGGCCAGAAACCCAAAAGTAGGCTATTTACTTCCAACAGGTACACGGTACTAACCGTGTAGTGACAGTGTAAGAGTACCCACTACCCCATATCGTCTCGTGGGTGTCGTAAGAGGCGACAGAGGGATAATGAAACAGAAGACGAGCAGCGTCATCTTCCTGATAATAGCTGAATAAAAAAAAACTGCGGTTGCCAACCTGCCTGCCAAGCGTGGCACCAATGGGATATCCCCCTTATGGGGTTATATATGGGAAAGACTTTAACACAAATTAACTTATATCAATAATTTGTTTTTTTTTTACATACATACAAATCAAGAAAGTCTAAGAGACATACGTATATATATATATATATATATATATATATATATATATATATATATATATATATATATATATATATATATATATATATCCAAACATTAGTTCCACATTTAGTTGTATTCTTATACATATAAAAAGGTCCTTAAAACTACTTGGTTCATTGGTCGGAGCCATGACCTTATGCAAAAGCACAGGGATACCTGGTGCATTCTTTCTAGGGCAAGTTTAATGACAGAAATATGGTATATTTGTCGATGTGATGTAGTGTGTGTTCTTTATTTTTACCGGTCTGTCGTTCGCCGCATCATTTTGAAGTTGCATTCTCAAAGCGGCCAAGTTGGCGAGTTGCTCGGAAGACCGCCGAGCCTCCATCAGCTCAGCTTCCAACGCTGCCCTGCTTTCTGCATTCCGTTCCCTCTCTTCTTCCACTATCTGCTTTATATATTGAACCACCTCCTCTAGAATAAGATTAAAGTTAAATCATCATTATTATCGTCATCAAAACCAGCCCGTGAAATTCCACTGCTGAATAAAGGCCTCTCTTGTTTGACGGAGGGCATGTCTTAATTGTGGTAGATCCACGTGTTTTATATGTAGTAGAGTCACGCTGCAGCTATATTATGGTTATAGCGCGAACGGGTCGGCTCAACCGGTAGGACAACGTTCTCACAAAATATCAGCGTAAAATAGCAGCTTAATGCTGCTGTATATAGTGAGCGAGACCTGGAAACCCATTTTACTGGAAACAAGACATTCCATCTTAGTGCTCAGGAGTGGCAACGCATCTGCATTTTGATTCTTAATCGAGGATAAATTTAGATGTCTATGTCTATGTCTTTTTTTAAAGCAGAGGGGGCGAGCGCAAAACGAGCATGCAGCTCACCTGATGAAAGTGTCTACCACCACCCATGAACAACCGCAACACCAGTGGAATTGCAGATGCGTTGCCGGCCTTTAAAAAAGGAGTAAGCTCGTTTCTTGAAGGTCCCTAAGTCGTATCGTTCTGGAAAAATCGCCGGTGGTAAACGATTCCAATAAGTAGTCGTGCGAGGAAGAAAACTCCTAGTAAATCGCACAGTAGTGGACCGCCAAGTATTCAGATGATGTGGATGGTAACGTAAGTTTTGTTGCGATGTGCATTGATGAAATTTGGCAGCTGGAATTAATCCGAACAATTCCTCAGAGCACTCCTTGTAGTAAATACGATAGAAAATACAAATGAGTGAAAAACTCAGCGCCAGTGAGTCGAGCCGATCGAAAAGAACTCAGTTGTCGACGATTCGAGCTGCTCTGCGCTGGATGCGGTCAAGTGGAAGGAGCTGACACTGGGAATTCCCAGCCCAGAGATGAAAACAGTATTCCATGTGAGGCCTAACCTGCGCCTTGTAAAGTTGCAGGCGGTGTGCCGGCATGGAATACTGTCCAGTTCTGCTGATCACGCCAAGCTTTTTAGAGGCCAATTTAGCCTTCTCTTCCCAGTGACCACAAAACTGCACATTTTTTATAGGATAGGGTGACAAACTAGCACACAGTACACCTGATGGATCCTGTGGCCTATGGACACTTACATACTTTTTCGATTAAGAAACAAAATGTATAAAATTTCTCACTCATAAAGACATAGACTGAATGCCACGTTACCTAAAAAGGTCTCCAGTCCTCAACATATGAAACATAGGATTAAGCTTCTATTTTACGCCGATATTTCACATATCGCCATCACCTCCTTGTTCTCCAAAATAATGGAAATCATCATAAACTGCCACCTCATGATATACCTTGAGGATCACCAGCTAATTAAACGCTTGGCAGCCAGATTGACAATCGCAGTACAAGACGTCTGGAACCTTTGGCATTGCTCCTCGTTACCGGTGTCTGTACATATTTATGGATCTATCAGAAGTTGTTAGATTTTTAGTTTTTTGCACGCCACATAACGCAAAGCGTTATTAGGTATTAGGTAGTGTATTACTCTCAACACATTTATATATAAAATTTTACGTGGTAGAGCCATGCTGCAGCTTTTACGTGGTAGAGCCATGCTGCAGCTATATTAGTAGTATAGTTGTAGCACGAACGGGTCGGCTCGACCGGGGTAGGACCACGCTCTCACAGAATACCAGCGTAAAATAGCAGCCTAACGCTGCTGTGTTTCGTATGGTGAGTGTAGAGAGCCGGAGACCCTTTTTAGTGGAAAAGAGGCATTCCATCTTAGTCCTCAAGGGTGACAACGCATCTGCGTTTTGATTTGCAAACGAGGGTAGATGTAGATGTCTATGGGCCACAGCAACCACTTACGAGTACCATCAGGTGGACTGTGTGTTCGTTTGTCACCCTATCCTATAAAAAAAAAAGTCAAGGTCAAACAATTTTGTTCTCTTCAAATACCTCTATCATAACCATTTTGCACTTATACGGTAATATGAGTAGCCGTATATCAGGAAAACACTAATTAATCCATCCAAAATTTTCTAAAATTCATCATTTTATATTGCTATTTTGATAAAAAAATTGTTTGAAAACATTTTTACGTGGACGTCGATTTTGTATGTAGTCACGATAACTCCCGAAAAAATCGAGACGAGGTTTTTTCATTTGCTTCTGATTTACATCAATTGATTCCCTATTTAATGCAATAGCCTAGTATACGCGACGTTTGTTAATTGATTTTCAAGTTTTATAAGTTTTATTGCTATTGAAAATTTAAAGGCGCTTACATAGTTTTTTTTTCTTTAGCTCTTTATAGACAAAGGACAAATGTACGTACATACCGATTTATTTTGGTAATTTATTTTTTTGATCAAAACTAAATTAAATACTCATGAGACGTGCATTTTTAGATTTTTCCAAACTATTTTAATCTTGATTTTTTTTGATTGATTCTCATACGCTGCCACCAAGCGCCATAGAATAAAAGTAAATACTTACTTAGGTTATGTACGAGTAAATAGGTACTAAATTGTTTTAGCCGTGCAGTGAGAGCTGTATGGGTATTCCCGTACAACGCTCTCCATATCATGCCATGGGTGTCTTAAAATGCGACAGAAAGAAACTGAAATAGGGGTGGATAACAACATCTTGTTGTTAACAACTCAAAATAATAAAAAAACTGGGGTTGGTTATGTTTCACCCCGTGCCTCGGAAAGCACATAAAGGCGTTGGTCCTGCGCCTGATATTTCTCCGGTTGTGTCTGATTGGGTCGAACTAATGTGAGTTAATACAGATTAAACTTGTGCTTATGTACTGACACGCTCGTGCACTATAATCCTACCATACGCCGATAGCTATAGTCTCTGTAGAGACTGATGGTCTCTATGCGGTCATCAATTTCGGTAAATTCGGTCTTCAGAATGATAAGGACGTTAGCATAACGACGACTGTATAATATGTGTGTAACCAGTGTAATATGATCTTACCCAGTCTACTGATTGCCCGGATCCTGTTGTCCTGCTGTGTCAGCGCCTGCTCCAGCAGCTCCCGTTCGTTCTGCTCGTGCACCAAGCTGTTCACAGTGCTCTCAAGCCGCATTACTGTTGAAAGCTGTTGGCTTTGCAGCTCCTGCGCGGTAAATAATTGAGACATTGTGAAAAATATTATCAACAAAAAATTACAATTTTCTGTTACATTTTGTGTAAAAATTAAATAGCCAAGGTCCGTGTACAAATTAATCTTTGAAAAATTCATTGTTTCAACTTCAAACCAAGTATGTCATAGTAGAAGAGCCATGATGTATATTATGGTTGTGGTACGAATGGTTCGGTTCGACTGGGGAAGGGCTACACTTTCACAGAATACTATCGTAAAATAGCAACTTAATACTGCTGTGTTTCGAATGGTAAGTGTAGAGAACCACAAACCCATTTTACTGGCAAAGAGGTATTCTATCTTAGTCCTCACGGCTGACAACGCTTCTGCATTTTAGTTCGCAAACGAAGATAGATGTAGATGTCTATGGGCCACAGCAACCACTTACCATCAGGTGGACTGTTTGCTCGTTTGTCACCCTTATCCTATAATAAAAAAACTGCTTAATTCTCATGTGGTCCGTATGGAGAGAGTAGGGAACTGGTAATCATTTTTAATTAATTCATCATACTATCTTTATCTTCATATCTATACTTAAGAAGATAGATGTAGATGTCTGTGGATTACAGCAACCATTTACCATCAGGTGGACTGTGGGCTTGTTAGTAACTCTTATTTTATAAAATAAAAAACACTTTAAGGTCTGATGCGTTGGCATTTCTTATAAATCGAATATTCTGACAATTTCCATTCTACCATTTTTTTATTTAATTACCATTCTTATTGTTTTTTCGAGAAAGTTTACGTGGTACCGCCATGGTTTTGCTGTATTATGGCTGCATTACGAATGAGTCTACTCGGCCGGGAAAAGATCACGTTCTGACAGAATATCAGCGCAAAATAACAACACTAGCTGCAAACAGAAGCTGTTGCTTTTCGTACAGTGAGTGACTAGAATCGAAAACCGTATTTGCTGTCAACGTGATACCTATTGCATCTAATTCGTATGATATCACAACGCGTAGCTGCATTTTGATTCTTAAGGGATAGAAGTATGTTTTATTTATAGAAAAAAGGTGATAAGCGAGCACACAGTCCACCTCATGGTAAGTCGTTGCTGTAGCCCATTGACATCTACGTCTATACTCGTTTGCGAATAAAATGCAGATGCGTTGTCACCCGTGAGGACTAAGATGGAATGTTTCGTTTCCAGTAAAAAGGGTATCGGTTTTCTACACTCACCAAATGAAACACAGCAGCATTAAGCTGCAATTTAACGCATTAGTGGTATTCTGTGAGTGCGTGGTCCTTCCCCGGTCGAGCCGACCCATTCGTGCTACAACTATACTATTAATATAGCTGTAGCATGGCTCTGCCATGTATTTTTACGTAAAGTTAACGTAAATTCACTTGTCGACCACCTTTTTAGTGTAAAAATTAAATATATTTAAATTTTCAACGTAAAAATTAAAATGATATGTCAAATATATTTTTTTTTAATTTTTTTATATTTTCAAAACTACCACTATTTCGAAAAGAGGTCCTTACTGAAAAATTCGTAAAATTTAGATCTCCACCTGCAAAGCCAGCTGCACATTTGCCAGGTCATGTTTGAACTGCGCGGCCCAGTTGGCGGACCTCTCGGCCTCGTCGTCCACGGCAGCACGAAGCGATACCAGCGTCGACAGGAAGTGCTGACTCCTTTCCTCCACCAGGACTAACTTCGTACGGAGATTTTCAAGTTCCGTGGATTGAACATCGCGATAGCTGGACTCTTCGGTTAGGGTTAACCTGGAAGAATTAATTTGCTAATTATACATCATCACACTATCTGGATACTAGGCGGCCCACCACTGTGCGAATTACTAGGCGTTTTCTTCATCGCACGACTTCTTTGTGGAATCGTTTACCATAGGCAATTTTTCCGGACCGATACAACTTAGGGACCTTCAAGAAACGAGTTATTTATAGGCAGCGGTCAACATTTAGTATCGGATAAGCCACATCCTCGTCTACCTCTTTTAAAAAAATAAATATATATCCTAGATTTTGGAAATGCAGCTACCACACAAGGAACAACTTTGCCAGAAAGGTTTTATTGTCTGCGATAAATGGCATCCCCATTACATCCAATTTAAGAGGATTATTAAGGATTATCAACGACTGACGCGATATAACGAGTGGCATCGTGTAATGGCGGCTTGTCTTTTTTTATAGAATAAGGTTGACAAACGAGCCTTTTTTATAGGATAGGGTAACAAACGAGCACACAGTCCACCTGATGATAAGTGGTTATTGTGGCCCATAGACATCTACATCTATCCTCGTTTGCGAATCAAAATGCAGATGCGTTGTCACCCGTGAGGACTAAGATGGATTGCCTCTTTTCCAGTAAAAAGGGTCTCCATTTCTCAACACTCACCATATGAAACACAACAGTGTTAAGCTGCTATTTTACACTGGTATTCTGTGAGAACGTGGTCCTTCCCCGGTCGAGCCGCCCCACTCGTGCTACAACTATACTACTAATATAGCTGCAGCATGGCTCTACCACGTGCCTATCCACGGGTGATATGGGGTACCACGTAAAAATGGGGGAAGTTAAAGAAACCATAAGTAGCTACTCACTTGACAGTAGCTAACTCCTTCTCAAGATATGTGACGCAGTCTTCTAGAGGCACGGACTTCGGCGACCAGGTATGTTTACTAGCTGGAACTACTGGCGGTGCGGGGTCGGACAGCCTGGCGTGAGTGGTTGATGATGAATTCCTGGCCTAAAAAAAGTTTTGTTTAAAATAAGATCTTAATTTGAAACTTATCAGTGCAAAGCAAACCCGAGTTGGCCAGTACTAAGCAACACGTGTTCACAAATATGACGTATGTGGCAACCACTGCCTTAAGATCATATTAAAGGGAAGTGGATGAGATAACCAATGGAAGACCAGCAAGCATGATATACCTAAGCTAGTGCCATACTGATGTCTCCCAATCTACTCAGAAGTACCGTAACAGAAGTATGTACGCGTAGCGGCACGATATATGAGCAAAGGCTTAAGTCGATTTAAAAAAAGTCCCCCTGGATTTCTAGCTGGGGTTCTTGTCAGGAACGAGGTATTTTCCGAACTAGTAGTAAATTAAAAATAAAAACATAAGAGTGGCTATTGCCATTGTTTAATATATATATATATATATATTTTTTATAGGAGAGGGGGCAAACGAGCATGCGGCTCACCTGATGGTAAGTGACTACCGGCGCCCATGAACAACCGCAACACCAGGGGAATTGCAGATGCGTTGCCGGCCTTTTTCGGTCCGGAAAAATCGCTGGTGGTAAACTATTCCACAAGGAAGTTGTGCGAGGAAGAAAACATCTTCTAAATCGCACAGTGGTGGACCGCCAATCATCCAGATGGTGTGGATGGTATCGGGAGTTTTGCCGCGATGTGCGTTCGTGAAATTTGGCGGCTGGGATTAATCCGAACAATTCCTCAGAGCACTCCCCATGGTAAATGCGAAAGAAAATGCTAAGAGATGCAACATCTCTTCGCAGTGCCAATGAGTCGAGCCGATCGGAAAGGACTCGGTCGTCGACGATTCGAGCCGCTCTGCGCTGGATGCGGTCAAGTGGAAGAAGCTGGCACTGGGGAGCCCCAGCCCAGAGATGGGAACAGTATTCCATGTGAGGCCGAACCTTCGCCTTGTAAAGTTGCAGGCGTTGAGCCGGCATGAAATACTGTCCCACTCTGCTGAGCACGCCAAGCTTTTTAGAGGCCAATTTGGCCTTTTCTTCCAAGTGACCACGAAACTGCACGCTACTCGATATGTCGACGCCAAGGATTCCGATACTGGCTGAGGCAACAAGGGGAGTACCTTGAAACTGAGGAGATACGACAAAGGGGTTCTTTTTAGCGGTAAACGCGCAAACTTGTGTCTTCTGAGAATTAAACTGGACTAGATTTAGTCGCCCCCAATCCGAGACTTTGTCCAGCAAAGACTCGACTTCAGACACAAGTTTGTTCCGGTACTCGGTGACGTTTTCCCGAGAAATATTGGCACGGCCGGTGTAGAGAGCATCACTAGTGCTGTCATCCGCATAGCAATGAATGCTACCGGCTTGCAACATATCATTGATATGCAGAAGAAACAGCGTTGGTGATAGCACGCAGCCTTGTGGAACACAGCGTTAATAGGCTTGTAGTCGGAGCATGCACCGTCTACAACGACCTTGATGCTCCGATCTGCAAGAAAGCTGGTGATCCAATTGCATAATTTCTCGGGAAGCCCATAGGAAGGGAGCTTCGAAAGAAGCGCTTTGTGCCAAACCCGATCGAAGGCCTTCGCAATGTCCAAACTAACGGCCAATGCGTCCCCCTTGGACTCTACTGCCAACGCCCATCTATGAGTTAAGTAGACCAGAAGATCACCAGCTGATCGACCCCGACGAAAACCGTACTGGCGGTCACTAATCAGCTGGTGATCCTCAAGGTACCGCATGAGGTGGCAGTTTACAACGGATTCCATTATTTTGGAGAACAAGGGGGTAATGGCGATAGGCCTGTAGTTGGACGGGTCTGAGCGGTCGCCTTTTTTAGGGATTGGGTGGACAAAAGCTGTCTTCCATGATTTCGGGACTACGCCTAGGGAGTAGGAGTACCGGAAAAGACGCGTTAGAACCGGTGCCAACTCCGGAGCACACGTCCTCAGCACAATTGGGGGGATTCCGTCAGGCCCACTCGACTTGTGGATGTCAAGGGAGAGGAGTGCTCTGCGAACCGAGCGCTGTGAGAACCGCACATTCGGCATGGAGCACTCACACCGCGGGATGGTCGGCGGTGTGTTCCCCCCGTCATCAACAGTCGAGTTGGACGCAAAAAGGGAGCCTAAAAGGTCGGCCTTCTCTTTTGCGTCGTGGGCCAGTGAGTCGTCCTCCCTGTGCAGAGATGGTAGTGATGGCTTACAGAAATTCCCTTGAACAGCCTTGGCGAGAGACCAGAATGCACAGGTTCCCGAAGGAAGGCGTACTAGTTTCTCGCCAATTCTGCCTATGTGCTCTGACTTTGCCTTGGCAATAACTCTTTTGAAGCACCTGGAGGCGAAGTTATACTTCTTTTTGAGCGTGCTGGTGTTTACATCCCGAGTCACTGAAGCCGCAGCCCAGGCTTGATAACACTCCTGCTTACTGCGTAATGCAGTCTTACAGGAGCGACCAAACCAAGGCTGAGATCTGCCTCCGATGGGTACCACAGATGATGGAATAAATAGTTCCATTCCCTGTAGCACTACATCAGTGACAGAGTCAGCAACAGCGCTGGGATCATCCGGCGAGAAGCAAACCCGCCCCCATGGGTAGGAAGCAAAGAAAGACCGCATTCCGTCCCAATCCGCCGACCTGTAATGCCAAACACGGCGGCAACCTGCAGAACGTAACCGCGAGGGGAGCGTGAGTGGCACCACACTCCGGATCAGACAATGGTCCGAAGAGCCAAGAGGGGCATCGACGGAAACCTGATATCCGTCCGGATGAGAGGTCAGCAGAAGGTCCAACAGGGAAGGTGTATGATCCTCAACATCTGGAATCCGCGTAGGCGATGTAACCAGTTGTGTCAGACCATATGCCAAGGCAAAGTCATAAACAGATCTCCCTGCATGATCGGTTAAACGTGAACCGAGCCATTCGGCGTGGTGGGCGTTAAAATCGCCAAGGATCACGATCTCTGCGGATGGGACCTGTTGTAGCAAGGAATATGTAGCCATTTGGACGTGGTCGATGAGTCGGTCTGTTTCGGCATTACCGCTATGGGACCTATAGAGGCACGCGTAGACGCGCGGATGGTCGTCGCTGTCTACGCGTAGCCAAAGGATGGACAGGTCCGAACCTTCAAGACTGCCGAGGCGTCGAGAACAGATGTCCTCTCTGACATACACGCAAAGTCCAGCCCGAGGCACAAAGGAGTGCTCCAATTTGTACCCCGGGTAGGAGAGATACGAAGTATCAGCCGGAGAGGACACCTGCGTCTCGGTCAGAAAGAGCAAGGCCGGCTTCGCCGTCTCAAGATGGTAGTGGACGGCGTTTAGGTTCGAGTGAAGTCCCCTGATGTTGCAGAAATTCACGGATAGCGTGGCAGGGGTCGCCTTGGTCTTGTTGCTCAGTTTGCCCCGAGCAGTTATTGTATTGAGCGGAATTTTGCCCCCCCCCCCCCCCCCCCCAGAATACGCGGGGCAGCCTGAGCACCCGCGCTCAGGAGTGGAATAGCATGGTCGTGGATGCTCAGCGAGGGATTCTCCAGGGGTACTGGTACCCTCCTGGGGTAGTTTATGACGTAATTCCGCTACCATGTTGATGGGGGGGGGGAATTGGGCCTCCGGTCACCTGCACTCACCAGACGAAACGCGGAAGCAGAGCTTCCATTTCACGCCGGTATTCTGTGAGGTCGTGGCACTAACCCGGCTCGAGCCGGCCCATACGTACAACAGCAAAAGCTGCTGCAAGGCTCTACCACCGTTTTTATAGCATAACCGTCTCAAATGAGCACACGGTTCCTCTCATGGTAAGTGGATACTGTGGCTCATAGACATCTACATGTATCTTCGATTGAGAATCAAAATGCAGATGCGTTGTCACCCGTGAGCACTAAAATGGTATACCTCGTTTCCTGTAAAAAGAGTCTCCGGTTCTCTACACTCACCATAAGAAACACAGCAGCATTAAGCTGCTTACGCTGGTATTCTGTGAGAGCGTGGTCCTACCTCGGTCAAACCGACTCATTCGTGCCGCAGCCATGAAATAGCTATGGCATGGCTCTATCATGTAAGAAAAATATTTTTAAATTGCATACCTTTTAATTTAAATTTAATTTCTAATAAGTACGTGAGTGATAGATGGCCACTTTAAGCTTTGCAGTCCTATAAAACCAAAGCTATAGAATATAGATTTTTTTGTCATAGAAATACTAGTGGGAGGGCAGAAAGTCGAAAAACAAAAAGTTCTACACTATATAATAACCAATATATTAATAAAAAAAATAGCAAACAAGCCATGGCAATAACTAGGAGCACTTTGAAAAATCAATTTAAAAACAAACAGTTACTGACTATATTTACTATACTGCAGCTGTCAACATGACGTCGATAAAGCCCTCTAGGCTTTTTATTAGTTGATTGACTGATGAAGAGCTATCTTTGAAAACAAGGCTGTAGTTTTTGAGTTATATGAAGGTGACCATGTTAAAATTGGATGACCATATTACTCTCACGTACGCAATTTTTTTATAATCAATATTGAATAAAAAAAAATCTATTTCTATTTCTATGGGTTTCTTTTGTGAAGTATATTCTAAGTAGATTCTTTCACGTGAGTAACAGACTATTAAAGTCCATTGCTGAATATAGGCCTTCGTCAAAGGGAGGATGTTTACCATAGTTGCCACGCTTGGTAGGCGGGTTGGCAACTCAATTTTTTTATTATTGGCCATCTTCTGTTTTAGTTTCCCTATGTATAGTTTTTATATGTGATAGAGCCATGCTGCAGCTATATTGTATTGAGGTTGGCATCCGCAGTTTTTGTTATTATCAGTTAAGGACGACACAGCTGCCCATCTACTGGTTTGTTTCTTCGCCTTTCACGAGACTCACGGCATGATATGGGGTAGTGGATATTCTTAGACTGTCACAACACGGTAAAAACACGGTAACACGCGTTTCACTTGATTGGTCCATAATGTAATCTCGTCAGCTATTGGGTATTCACGTGTCATGCGCATGAAGTATATTGGTTGGAAAATACAATTGTAATTTGGGATGGGTCCCCTTACGCTTATTAAAGCCTATAAACGTCACACTTCTGGGCATAGGCCTACTCTCATTACAGTCGGGTTTTCAGGGTGAGAAAGTGTTCACCACACTACCTAATGATTTTTGTTATAGAATAACGGTGACAAACGAGCACACAGTTCACCTGATGGTAAGTGGATGCTATGGCCCATAGACTCAAAATGCGTATGCGTTGTCACCATTGAGGTTGATTCCATTTTAGTTAATGCCTCAACAAACGAAACACAGTACTAAGTTGTACAGACAGGTGCACTGTTGTAGTTGTACTGACACCATCAGTATTAAGTTGCTATTTTATGCTAGTATTCTGTGAGAGCATGGTCCTTTACCAGTCAGGTAGACCCATTCGTTCTACAACTATAATATAGTATCAGCGTGAACCACGCTTAGTCGTATAAAATTATTCTTCGAAATATATGTTTTTTAACCTCCTCGCGATGTTTTCCTTCACTGCCGAGAAAGTGGTAAATCAACACTTAATAAGGTACGTTAGGATAATATGGTCACCATAAGCTTTGCCGCCCTATAAAATCAAAACTAGGAGGAGAACAGAGACAAAAACACAACGTCGTATACTATAACTAATATATTAAGAAAAAAATGGCAAACAGGCTTTGGCAATAATTAGGAACGAAAAATCAACTTCTATAAAACTAACGACATTACACAGTAGGTACTAAAAATTTACTAAAATATTTAGTATAATGTCAACTATCAAAATGGCGTCGATAAAGCAGCGCCCTTTTGATCCTTTATTAATTGATTGGCTGATGATGAGCTATCGTATCAGAGAGTAATATATGCAAACAAGGTTGTAGTTTTTGAGTTACCATATTAAGAAAGTGACCATATTAACCGGATGACCATATTACCCTTACGTACTATACTCGTAATTAAATATTTAATTAGTACCGGTGGGGCTCGAACCCGGGTCGCTCAAATTTCAGCCGCTAGGCGACCACTTGTATAGTTTAAAATACCTTCTCCATTTGTGGACACTCATTGACGTGCGTGTCTTTATGCTTGCGCTGTATCCACGCTCCGCAGCGCAGCGGGCATTGCTCCAAGATGCTGCCACACTGCTTCAAATGATTCTGTGAAACGTTTTCGAGATTAATCAATCAAGGGACTCGTACACCTTGTTACGAAGAATATGTATTATGATGGTTATAAAAAATAATAATAAGGTAAAGGTTTCGTTTTAGTTTTGTTTTATAAAGTAGCGACCCGGACCGGCTTCGCATGGGTGATTTTTGGATCGAGAAAGGGCGCCACCGACCGACCAACAATATCTAAAAACTATCCTCATAAGTACCCCATACATATTTCATTATAATCGGTCAAGTCGTTTAGGAGTAGAATAATTACGAACTCACGCACACCGGAATTTTATATACGAGTATAAGCACTAGCTACTGCTATTCTTTTTCTACCGACTTCAAAAAGGAGATGGTACTCAATTCGACTGTATGTTTTTTTTTTATAAGTGTTACCTCATAACTTTTTACTGGGTGAACCGATTTCGATGATTCTTTTCTTATTTGAAAGCTGGTGCTTCACATGTTCTCTCATATAAATTTGATCAAGGTCTGAACAATAGTTTTTGAGTTATTCGTAATAGTTTATATTGAAGTCAGTTGTACAACGTTTTTAATTTTAAATTATTATTAACCGACTTTAAAAGCGAAGAGGATTCTCTATTCATACTGTATGATATGTATTTTTATGTATGTCCGGGCATTAACTTTGTTTATGAACTGATTTTAATGATTTTTCATTTATTATAATCGAGCTTATACTTCTGGTCTCATACATTTTAAGAAAGAATATACATTCCTTGGGGTGAAAAAATAAAGGATGAAGTTTCTAATGCAACCATTTGGACCAAATTCTACTTGGTACCTTGTTACCTTGATTTTATGGAATTCCTTATTTACCTAAAAAGGGTAAAAATATACTGTAGAAAAAAACCGGTACTTCACAAACTAAGGGCCGATTTTTCAATCCTAAGTTTAAACTTAGTCATAGGATAAAATATAACATAAACAAATTAAAAGTTACAGATGTTCTAAAAGAACAGTCCAGTTGTTTTACTTTTATATTGACCACGCTCTCACAGAATAGCAGCTTAATGCTGCTGTGTTTCGTATGGTGAGTGCAGAGAACCGGAGACCTATTTTACTGGAAAAGAGGCAATCTATCTTAGTCCTCACGCCTGACAACGCATCTGCATTTTAATTCCCAAACGAAGATGTAGATGTCTATGGGCCACAGCAACCACTTACCATCAGGTGGACTGTGTGCTCGTTTGTCACCCTAATTCTATAAAAAAAAACATACATATAATTTATCGGACAGTTGAAAAATTGGCTCTAAAAGGAATAAAATAAAATGCACATAATAGCTTCTGTATTAAGGGCCTTAATCCATGCCTTTTTCTGCCACCAAGGCGGCGACACTTACGTGTGCGATGAAATATTTGACAAATTTCATAGCGTGGTCATAATTTGTTAGAAAAGTGTAGAAATGTTAGTACAATGTTTCTTTTTTTTATAGAAGAGGGGGCAAACGAGCATGCGGCTCACCTGATGGTAAGTGACTACTGCCGCCCATGAACAACCGCAACACTAGGGGAATTGCAGATGCATTGCCGGCCTTTTAGAAAGGTGTAACCTTTTTTCTTGAAGGTCCCTAAGTCGTATCGGTCCGGAGAAATCTCCGGTGTTAAACGATTCCACAGAGAAGTTGTACGAGGAAGAAAACTCCTGGTAAAACGTTTCTTTCTCAAATATTAGCTATATTCTTCGAAAGTCCCTATAGCTATAGTTTTCGATTTTTTTTCTTATTTCTCAGACATGCAGGTTTCCTCGTGATGTTTTCCTTCACCGCTGAGCACGTGGTAAATCAGTACTTAAAATTGCAATTAACAATTTCATTGGTGCCGGCGGGGATCGAACCCGGGTTGCTCGCGTACTTAGATATTTACAGCGAGCGCCAACCAACTGAGCTACCACGGCTCTCAATAAACATCACATTAGTCGGTTTTTTTTAAACTTTATTTTATACTTTTAACATTAGCTTGACCTGTATGTTATGTATGTGTATACAACATGTAACAAGAACCCTGTGGTTCCCGTTAAGTGCATTATCAGAGTCAGTATTCAAACTTGAATATGAAGCAATCTATGGAGGAGGCCTATGTTCAGCGGTAGACTTTAATAGGCTGTAACGGTATTTATTTTAAATATTAACGTGGTATTTAGGTGATAGATTCACGCTGCAGCTATTTCATGGCTGCAGGACGAATGTGTTGACTCGACCAGGATAGAACTACGTTTTTACAGAATAACAGCGTTAGATGACTAGATTATATTATATATATTATGATTAGAAGATGTTTTCTTCCTCGCACAACTTCCTTGTGGAATAGTTTACCACCAGCGATTTTTCCGGACCGATACGACTTAGGGACCTTTAAGAAAAGAGCCTACTCCTTTTTAATCTGCAATCCCCCTGGTGTTGCGGTTGTTCATGGGCGGCGGTAGTCACTTACCATCAGGTGAGCCGCATGCTCGTTTGCCCCCTCTCCTATAAAAAAAAACAGCAGAAGTATGCTGTATTTTGCATGGTGAGTGTAGAGAACCGGAGACCGTTTTGAAAAAAAAAGTGACAACACACCTGCATTTTGATTATTAATAAGATAGATGTTTATGTATACCTATAGGCCACAGCAACCTCTCACCATCAGGTGGATTGTGTGATCGTTTTTCACCCTTATTCTATATAAAAAACTGGCTTATAATAGATTTAAAAAAATATTACATCCTTACCTAAGAAATTAGCTATTTATATGAAAAAAGCAATACGAAAAAAAATTAAATTATATATTTAATCAATCAAGTATGTACCATTGTTATCAATGCACATTTGTCATTTTAAAGGTAGTTCTTGGATTCCTTTGCTGAAAAATTAGTGAGATCGAGAATCAATAAAATCTTTGAAGGGAGTCATCGGAGCTTAATTTTTTCCTGGCAAGAAATTGTCCAAATTCCGGAAAATCTTGTAATCTGTTGGAGCAAGGTCCGAGGAGTGTGATGGGTGTCGGAGTCATTTTAATCGCCGCTCCTCAAATTTAGCGTCTGTTGTGCAATATGTGATCTAACGCTGTCCTGAAGCAGCAGTGGGCTAGAGCAATTGACCAGCCTCGGTTGTTTAACGGCTAGATTTTCCATCATGCTTTGCAATTGTTGACAATACAGATCTATCGTAATCATTCACCACCAGCACACACTTACTTATCTCAGCGTGAGTGATAAAATAATTTTATCACTTACACAAGCTTACTGCTACCTCCGAAGAATGCAATGGATCCGCTTACACGGTCACTTTTAATTCTTTATTGTCTACCGAGGTCTCCGGCTGTCCACGGAGTATGTCCTGTAGGTCAAAATTTTCAGAACGTGTACGTTGGAACCAAGAACGTACCGTGTTTTCGTTTACAGTGACTTTCTCATACACCTCATCACATTATACGTGATAGCGCCATGCTGCAGCTATATTAGTAGTATAATTGTAGCACGAATGGGTCGGCTCGACCGGGGAAGGACCACGCTCTCACAGAATACTAGCGTAAAATGGCTGCTTGATACTGCTGCGTTTCGTGTGGTGAGTGTAGAGAATCGGAGATTCATTTTACTGGAAACAAAGCATTCCATCTTAGTCCTCACATATGACGACGCATCTGCATTTTGATTCTTTATTGAGGATAAATTTAGATGTCTATGGGTCACAGCAACCACTTACTATCAGGTGGACAGAGTGCTCGCTTGTTACCCTATCCTATAAAAAAAATCAATGCTTCGAGCTCTTTCGAGCAGCACCAGTGCTACGGAGAAACTCGTATTCGTAAATAACGCGATGTTTTAAGTTTTCCATATTGTGAACAGAGCAATGTTAAAGAAACATCAAATGGCGCGAAAACAAATGATTTACTAAATTCCAAACACAAAACACAAGCCTAAATCTACACAAATAAATAAAATTGAAGTGTCTGTTCATAATGTCAAAATAACAGCTAATAACTCAACGCATATAAAAGGATATACGGTACTTATAACAAAAACACAATTTTTTTTATGTCTGTCTGTCTGTCTGTTTCCAGCTAATCCGTTCCGGCTGGACCGATTTTGGCGAGACTTCCACTGGCAGATAGCTGATATTACAAGGAGTAAGTTAGGATACTTTTATTTTAAAAAAGAAGTTAGGGTTCCGCGCAAAAAAAATAAAACTTATAAAGTTCAAGTAACGAATTCCACGCGTGCGAAGTCGCGGGGAACAGCTAGTTTTAAATAAATTTGTATTTGGAATCCATAACCAAACGCCAGATATTTGAAATCAAAGTGGCCAGTTCGACAAAACGCCAATTTCATGTGTAAGAACATAATATATTGCGAGACGTAAAAATGCGCGTCGTTATCCTTTTATTTGTTTAGGTAACCAATTCTTCATATCAATAGCATGACAGCGGGCGTGTTTTCGGAGAATACCTATTGATATTTCATTTGTTGATGCCAAAAATATATTTCATACGTTGTTTTGCTTAAAACGAATAAGAAGTTATTTCAAACATGCTAAAATTTGACTCACGTTTTATGACGGGCTTTGAAATCGTTTTGTTTTCTTTATTTCAGTGAACAGTGCATTGATTGTTGGATTTAAAAATAAAGTTTTAAAAGGCGGTTTTTGGTAATTAGCTTTTCTGCATCAGGTTATTTTTTGATTTATATATATAAATAGAATCGAAGTGTCTGTCCGTGATATATAAATAATTGTCATTTATTTAACATAGGGGTTTATTTAAATATGTGTTGCCATTAAGACATGAACAAACATTTCTGTCTGTCTGTCCAGGCTAATCTTCGGAATGCTTTAACCAGTTGTGATGAAACTTCTAGAACAGATAAAGAGCAATGTCAGGGGAATGATCTAGACTTTTTATCCCAAAAACTTAGAGATTTTTTGTAAAATCTAAAAATTGATCAAATTAATTTGTTCTCTTTATTCTTAATGACACCACATGGATCCAACCAGGCGAAGCTGGGGCTGGTGGTCAGTTTAAAGTAAGAATATGCTAATACTTCAAAGCTATAAAAGGTCTATATCTAGATTTAAATTGCTCTTAAGAATTTGGAAGGAAGACTTTTACTCCAAATATGAACATCTCCCGCAAGCAATGTAGGTTTTGTACATGGTAGAGCCACGCTGCACCTATATTAATTGTATTATTGTACCACGAATAGGTCGGCTGTTTCGTATGGTGAGTGTAGAGTACCGGAGACCCTTTTACTGGAATAGAGTCATTCCATCTTAGTCCTCACGGCTGACAACGTATCTGCATTTTAATTCGCAAACGAGGATAGATATAGATGTCTCTGGGCCACAGTAATCACTTACCATCAGGTAGACTGGGTGCTTGCTTGTCATCCATATCTTATAAAAAAAAGAAAAAAAGGTATTCCATAATTAGCGAACCAGTCTCAGAGGACAAATAATTGGTGGGAAATCTATGCAGAAATGCCAAGCTTATATATCACTTCGCCCGCGACTTCGCCCGCGTGGAGTTCAGAAAACGATATTTTCAGCAAATTACAGCCCGTACTCCAAGCATAAGTAATTACAAAGTTCGTTCCAGATCTATCCCAAATAAATCGTGCAATTTACTGTGATAAGCCCGTGGATGTCGTAAGAGGCGACAGAGGGAAACAAATTAGGAGGTAATATACATAAAAAATGCGGTGGTCAACCAGTTTGCAAAACATGGCTGATATACGAATGATACGCGATATGAAGCGATCTATAGGGGAGGCCTATAGGCGAGGGCGGGGAGGTTCACCAGTGGACTTTAATCTGTAACAGTAACTAGGATAAAAATTCCAATGTTACTCTCCGGTCCCTAAAAAGTCTCTTAGCAAAATATTTATTTATTTATTTAACACCAACAAGGCATACACTAACGAAAGAATAATATTTTTACAAAAAATAAAACTTTAAAACTAAGTGTTGACTTAATTACAGGTCTTACACACATTTCATAAAAAATAGACACAAGTATACATATGCAGTGAATTAAACTGAATACAAAAATTAAGAGATCAATAAATAAAATTAGAATTTAGTATTATATACTAGTTTAAATCATGCATAATTTACTACTGTTATTTTCATAAGAAATTTTATAAACGTTAAACATAACAAAAATAAAAACATTAATAAATTATAATATACAATCATTATGATTTCTTATATTTACGCGAACACTACACATTTTTAAATAAAACTAATTTTACGGATTTTATCGCGTATATTAACTTATTTTTAACTTATTTTTATATTCCCGACGTTTCGGGTGCTTTCCAGCACCCGTGGTCACGGGGTCGGTTTTATACAATCATTAGTTAATCACAATTTAGCTTTTATATTACTACTAAAAAAAAATATCTTTACCGTAAATTAAAATTGTTTGAGGAATGTAAATGTAATAAATCACGTTTAAATTTCCAAAGGTTATCTAAAAATATGTCAATATCAACTTTTCTATCTTTATGTTTATTATCAGTAGTCATTATGGCACTAATACAATTCTTATGTGATATTTTATATTATGGTATTTTATAGAATGGTATAAAAGACGACGGCCTTTTTGACTTCAATGAGGTACGAAATATCATGTCAATGCGTTGCTTCGTTGTTGCGTTGAAGAACAAGAAACCAACAAACATATTTTCGCATTTATAATATTAAAATAATGATATAATCGTTGGTGCATCGTGCAACTTCTGACCGATTTGACCGATTGAAGTCATATTCACAAAATGCATGTGTATTTCATTCATTTCAAGTGACCCGATATTCAAGTATTGATTCGTCTTATGAACCGGGTTATTCGGGTCGATCATTCAAATGGATCATTTCGAGTTTCAGTACGCTGTGATCTGTGAGACTCGCTCGATAATGTCGGTTGTCGGACATTACTATACTCTTTGGTCGCAGGTCATGTCAACCGTTTGTTCCGGAACAATACAATACTTTGATGTGACCCGGGTCAAATAATCAAATCATCCACAATTGATACATGTCTATGAACCATTATCTCGACAAAATGTAGCTATAAAACAATGCTAGATAGATCACGTGGCAGTCAAATTATTAACAAACCGGAGACCCTTTTTACTGGTGATGAGGCATTCCATCTTAGTCCCAATGGTTAGTGATAGTTATTTAATTTTTTTACTGACCACTAGCTGTGCCCCGCGACTTCGCCCGCGTGGAATTTACTACGATTTCATGGATATCAATTTTTTTGCGCGGAGCCCTAATTTTGTTTTTTAGTAATGTTACCATATTATAAATATTGACATTAATATTTATACGATACTAACGTCACTCAGTTGTTTTGCCTCTCCGGAACCCCTCCACTAACACTTAAACTTACGGTATTAAAGTTCAAATTGACTTTTAAGTATTATTACGAATCTTTTGTATGGGAATATAAAAAAAGTGTTGTTTTTAGACTTTTTCAAGCAATTTTTTAAATTTTTCTCTCCGTAAGAACCATCTTCGTACTTCAAGGAATATTATAAAAAAAGAATTAGCGAAATCGGTTCAGCTGCTCTTGAGATTTGCACTTAGCAACACATTCAGCGATTCATTTTTATATTATAGAGATGTAGTGGTGAGATCTAATAAATAAATGAATTAACAGAATCAGACATTTCTCTGCGGAAATCCATCTTATTAAAGTTATTAAAAATTAATTTGCTTTATTGCACGGATCTAGGCAAATTAATTTTTAATAACTTTTGTACGAGCAAGTACGTGGTATTTCAATAGTTAAGGAAATATGTTGATATTGCACCTGCGCGTGCGTCACATTCAGTACAATTACATTCATAAGTATTTATATATATTACATTTTATTCATAAGTATTGTTAGTGCATAAACGCCCTCTACGGAATCGGACACAGTTTAATTACCACATACCGTAACGTAGATACAATCTACATCGACATCCTACACATCAATTATATGTAGAGGGTCACAACTCAGAAACCTCCCCCTACAAATTTAATGTATTAAATGCATTGAGTTATACGTACTACGTACTAGAGAAGCTATTCCAAACAAAAATTGTGCGCTACTCTATGTCTTCGCGCATGCGCGGGAGATAGTAGAGTCGCGCATGCGTGGAGACTAATTTAATATAAAATAAGATATTAATATAAAATAAATATAAGAATTTAGTATGAAATACTCTTATTTTAATCTAAACAAACATATTTCTAAATAAAATGTAATAATAATTATCTTATGGAATTCACAAGTCTTCAATTTACACAATATTTAGTTTAGTGTACGGATTGCAGTACAGTTCAGTTGAACATAGTCAATGTTCGGAATGCGAAATCTAGTGCGTAGTAGATACATATATATCGATGGTTAAATGCAATAGTAACAAAAACTTACCTGCAGTTTCCCCATTTCGAACGTTTCATTGCAGAAGTAGCACTGGCTGTCCTTCCTGCCGCTCCCGTTGTCCTGCGACTCTACCTTTAACTTGTTCAAGCTCATTCTACCAATTGTTAACGCCACTGCCGCATTAGTTTGTATCCCACACCGTGGTTAGTTACATTAGTCTGTGACAAAACTGTTAATATTACTGTTAGTAACTTGTAGAATTATGCTAAGTAGGGGTAGGGGGGGCTATGGCTATTCTTTGGTGGTGGTAAAGAAAAATTATTACAAAATAAAAGCAAATCTGCATATGTCGTACTATGAAAGTTGTTAAAGGTGAGCGTGTGAAGCACGAAGTAGATCTCATGGTTCCCGATACATGTTGGGACTGAAGACTACCAGCTTCAAATGTACGGGTAATACCATCACCAATGTCTCGGCTAATATTTTTTTTTTATAGAATAAGGCTGACAAACGAGCACACAGTCCACCTGATGATAAGTGCACGCTGTGGCCCATAGACATCTACATCTATCCTCCATTAATTGCCAAAATGTAGATGCGTTGTCACGTGAGGACTAAGATGGAATGCCTCGTTTCCAGTAGAAAGGGTCTCCGGTTCTCTATAATCACCATACGAAACACAGCAGCCTTTAGCTACTATTTTACGCTGGTATTGTGTGAGAGCGTGGTCCTACCCCGGTCGAGCTGACTAATTTGTGCCAGAACAATAATATAGCTGAAACATGGCTCTACTTATTATAAAATATGAAATAATTATGGAAGATCCCCTTAACCAGAAAGGCCTATGTCTAGCAATTTGGGATTACGAAGAAATACTTTACTACTACGAGAAAATTCTACGAGATAGCTTCACCAGCATCTATCACAAGCATTGAGATCTTTCTGGTACAACATATATATCAAACGACTTCAAAAAAGGAGGAGGTTCTCAATTCAATTAAATTCAATTTTTTTATATGTATGTTCACCGATTACTCAATTGTTTCAAAGGGTATGCTTCCCAGGTGGTGCCATTTAAATTTTTATGAAAATCGGTATAGGAGTTTTTTTTAAATCAACAATAAAATTGATATTGAAGTCGTTTGTACAAAATTTTAAATTTACTACTTCTTTATATGGATACTTTATTTCATTACTAAAGATATTCCAATTAAACTAATTATAAACAAAGCAACACGACTTAAAAGCAATCCCCAATCAATAAGAACACTACAAAAAACCGATGAATTAAATCAAGAAACAATTTTTTAGGTTGGTTCATGGTTTGCGAGTTATAATCCTTGCCTAGATACGTCAGAGGCACAGATTAGTTAATAGTTTACAAAATCAGAGGTGACTGTGATGTTACGTGCGAGCGAGTAAGAGATATCACATAGAGGAGTAAGAAAATATTAGTGGAATTGCTGCAACAGCGTAAGAACACATACCACCTCATCCCGTGGGTTTCGTAAATGTTTATTATGATGTGACTGCCTCGTTGGTGTTGTGATTGTAAACGCGACTGTTGATCAAGAGGTTCCGTGTTTGAATATCGAGTCGGGTCGACAAAAACTCAGTTATTGAGTTGGCTGTGTTGTACGCCGGTGCCTTGAAAGCACGTAAAGCCGTTGAACATGAGCTTGGTCTCTCTTCGGTCGTATAGGATTGCCGTCCTATCGGACTATAGGACTATGGGAGTGAGGGAATACAGAGTGCACTGCACTGCGCAGATGACGAGTCTCTATTGACAATTGCAGGCGTGACCGAAATTCGGTCTGAATAAATTGTATTATATTATTACGTACACCTGTAGTGTAAATATAGGCAGTGATGATTGAGTTAGGTTAGGTAAACTTTTATATATACACACACACACACACACACACACACACACACACACACACACACACACACACACACACAAATAATATTAATAAATAAACGTAATACCTATAGCACCAATTATAGCAACAATTCTTCAACATTGAATCGTAACACCAAACACAAATTTTTAACACTGCTCACACCTCACTTTGTTATATTCGTTCTAAAAACACTCGACACTGTTACAAGAACAACGTTTTTTGTTAAATGATTTATAATATACAATGCTAACCTTATCTGGATTACACCAGTGATATCTGATACGGGGCATTTGGCGAGATAGCGCTAGAGCGTGTTGTATTTTAGTTTTGTTACACGCCATTTAATGGGTCAAGGTGATAAAATATTTTTTAAATCGTCGGGTGCTTTACAGCACCCATGGTCACCGGGTGACTGAGGTGTTTGACGTCCTGATATCATAGTTAGCCCGGCTAAACCTTCAGTTTTTAAATAGTGATTTTTGGTAAGAACGCAGAATGTGCTTACAGTATCTTGAAGTCTTGCAGGGGTTATGCTTGGGTTTGGATTTAATTTTATTAATTATAGGATCCCAATCAGATGGCAGCATCTATCCGTCTTCTCCATTGAAATTAGGATGTTTTTTTTTTAATTTCAATAGCCTCGCGAATCTCCTTGGTAGGAATCGGTGTCCTTATTTTCCTATCGGTTGTCGGTTCCTCGAGCTATATGGCCGGCTCATTGCCACTTCAGCTTACTAATCCGTTGGGCTATGTCAGTCACTCTGGTTCTACTGCGAATATCCTCATTTCTAAGTTTATCACGCAGAGAAACCCCGTGCATAGCCCTATCCATAACTCGCTGAGCGACCTTGAGCGTCCTTATATGACCAGCAGTGAAGAACCACGTCTCAGATCCATAAGTCATCACTGGCAATACGTACTGGTTGTACAAGCTCGTTTTCAGGTTTTGAGATATACCTGACGAGAAGATGTGCCGTAATTTCGCGAACGCTGTTCAGCCGAGTTGAATCCGACGATTGATTTTCACGGCCAAAGTTGGACTTACCTAGTCGGACTATTTCTCCCAAGTAAACATACTCGTCAACAACTTCAAGCTTAGTACTCCTAACAATCACCAGCATGGGTGTGACATGAACATTAAACGTGATCTTGGTTTTGTTCATGTTCATCTTAAGACCTATCCATTGGGAGACACTACGAAGGTGAGTAATGTACTCGCCATTACTGTTAATACCTTATCCTTTCCAGTCAAGTAGCTTGAAAACGTCTTCCAATGCAGCGGTGAAGAGATTCGGGGAAATAACGTCAGCCTGTCTTACACGTCTCTGCAGTTGGATAGGTTACGTACTCTGATTCTGTACTCGGATAGCCATCGTAACCCTGCTTTTTATATATTATGTAGGTATATATAATCAATTTATAGCTAGGGCTATGGTTAGCGTTATCTAGGGTTATGTTAGGAAGTTACGTTACGTTACAGCTCTCTTTCTTTTTTTTTCATGGGGAAATTCCAACGCATACTACTAAAAACATCAGACGTGGTAGAGCCATGCTGCAGCTATATTAGTAGTATATAGTTGTAGCACGAATGGGTCGGCTCGACCGGGGAAGGACCACGCTCTCACAAAATACCAGCGTCAAATAGCAGCTTAACACTGCTGTGTTTTGTATGGTGAGTGTAGAGAACCGGAGACCCTTTTTACTGGAAAAGAGGCATTCCATCTTAGCCCTCACGGGTGACAACGCATCTGCATTTTGATGCGCAAACGAGGATAAATGTAGATGTCTATGGGCCACAGCAACCACTTACTATCAGGTGGACTATGTGCTCGTTTGTCATCCTCTCCTATAAAAAAAAAAAAAACATAATTTAACCAGTGGGAAAAACCTTTGACGTTCGAGTATTCGTTTTTTTAAGCTGATTTAATTGTCTGAGATAATTTTTAAGCTACATAACCATAAACGCATTGAATTACATTCTTAATTGGCTACCTTTTTTTTAGATCCTTCATTACCGGATAATAAGTAAAAAAAGTTTCAAATAAAGTATTTTTTGTCCATCGAATGCCGCACGCTTACTTCGTGCTGGACAAATTTGCATGCAGCGGAGAAGGGAGTGTCCACTAACGTCAGATATCCTCAGGTTAAATACCGCACTAAGCTCAAGTGGCTCCCAATCCGTCTTCGTCGGAATACTCATACTTTCTGCTGTCTACTGTGCCTTATTTAATATATCAAGTGCTTCTTTTACATTTTTAATTGCTCAGCTCATGTCATAATTTTTCCTTACGATCCAAAGGAAATATTTCCCTCCAATGTCCTGTGCACTCCTCGACTTATTATGACAAGTCATTAGATAAGATACGATAAAATAAGATGATTTATTTGTTACAATATGGTACATTTAAGTTGTTATAGAATAATTGAGATCCTAAATATTCTGCAGTTTCCTGCGTACAAATATTTTCAGACAGATTGTTAGAATTTAATAGAAAATCAAGACACTAATTATTATAGAATATTTTCTGTTCTTGGAGTAAGACTTTCGAACTACTTACCCCAGTCAATTAAAAGTGCTCGATCCTTAATTGTGTTCTAGAAACAGGTTAAGGAATACTATTTGTCTCTCTAAACCCTATGATTAATTATGACTCTCGACGCAAAGCTTCAGTGGGGTCCCCATATATCCAAATTAGCAAGCAGACTAAGTTCTGCAGCTTATTCTGTAAAAAAGATTAGAGGTCTCACTAGTGTCGAGACAGCTAGATTAGTTTATTTTAGTTATTTCCATAGCATAATGTCTTATGGGATTTTGCTATGGGGAAATGCGGCTGATTCAGAAACTATTTTTGTTTTACAGAAGAGGGCCATTAGAGCTATTTACAACTTAAAACCGAGAGAGTCTCTTAGAGATAAATTTAAAGAAATAAATATATTAACTTTGGCCTTTCAGTATATTTAAGAAAATTTTATGTATGTTCACAAAAACAAAGGTAGTTTTAGTAAATAAAGTGATATACAATCTGTAAACACTAGGAACAAACACAAGCTAGTGATACCAGTTTCGCGACTCCACAGAGTCAATAATTCATTCTTGGGCAATGTATACGCTATTACAACAAGGTCCCGGAAAGAGTACAGGCTCTCTCTATTACCAAGTTTAAATGTTTTGTTAAGCTGAAACTGTATAATAAAGGTTCATCATCATCATTACAGCCTTTCATAAGTCCACTGCTGAACATAGGCCTG